GTGAGGAGCTGCTCTTTGGTTCATAGACAATGCTTTCTCCCTGTGTCCCAACATGGTAGAAGAGGCAAAGAAACTCTCTAGGGTCTCTTTTATAAGGGCACTAATCTCATTGATGAGGGCTCTGCCCTCACGATTGAATCACCTCCCAAAGGCCCCACTTCCTAATACCATCACATTGGTGATTAGGTTTCAATATATAAACAATTAGCCCACAGCAGGGACTTAACCCTAAATTATACCCAAACGAAAACACACGAACACCACATTTAGGCTAAAGCTTGAGACTTCATAATAAACCAAAATATACAGAGGAATTTCTAGTGGGCATGAAGCACTGTCTCTCCAGGGGATACTGAGGCCCATAAGAGCTGTGTGTGTTAATAGACAACTAGGGCAGATGGCTCATGGCTGTGCAAGTTTCCTCTGTTCTACCCCAGGAGTGCCATTTGCAGGACGTGAGTAAGGCCCTCTGGAAGGGTACTACAAAGAGGTTGTGGTAAAGCTCCAGACAGCATGAGTGACTATGAGAAAAATCCACCCTTTTGTTCAGGCTGAGAGGGAATGGATTTTATTCTCGTGGGAGAATGAAAGGTTGCAAAGAGAGTTAACTATCAGCCATTCTTTTCCATCATCTTTGTAACAACTCCCTTTAACAGGACTGGAAGAAGCCAAGCTCTGAGACTGCAGGGGCTACACACACTTCTACTAGTGTAGAAGACACTAATTACATTTGTGCTGGGTGGTGGATCTAATACAAAATGCAAATTTAGAGCAAAATGTAGAGAATGATGTAATGGTAGCCAAAGTCCTTCTCTTACTCAGTCACAATAGCCCATCTTTTCTCCTTTCCTTGTACTTAATTTTAAAATGCTCAGAAACTGTAGCTCCAGAAGTGATTTCAATTAAATTTTTAGTAAGTAGACTAACCTAATCATGAATTGAAAAAATTTGAAGTCTTGTAAGGAAATACTATATGAAAATGATTTTCAAGAACTAATTAATAATCATCTCCTGAATATTGTATTTATTTTCTCATTTTATTTGACCCTGGTGCTGAACAAGTATCCAAAATATAAAAATGTACGGAAGGATATTCCATCTTTTGTCCTTTGAAAAGATAATGAATTTGTGTTTCTTGCCAATGTTCTAAATAACTGAATGGGTAAAATAAGCTAATTGCAATTTTTGCATTCATATAGTTTTTCTGATTCTTGATTAACTATAATCATTGAAGTCTTTTCTTACATCTTTTCACTTTTTTCATTTCTGTTTTGTTCTTCTTTTCCTTCCCTTCCCCCCCTACTTTGGAAACAGTTTATGGATTTTAAATTTAACTTTTAATATCAGCTACTTTGAAAATGTACACCTTCCTGTCGCAACATTTAAAGAAAACAAAAACCAAAGGAAGATACTTCCTGAAAAATATGCAATTAGAGGCACAGTCTAAGAAAAATTTCTATGCAGAATTACAAAAATTGTTGAAACTATTTCTTTTATATTTTGAATTGACCATTTCAAATTTTGTGCCAACTGAAAAAAATCTTACACAAATTGGTAATCTACAGTACCATTAGAAATTTTTTTTTTTTTTTCTTGAAATTCTGGGAAGTTAGACACAGCAATGAAGTAGTTTTCCAGTTTTCCTGAATCTCCTCATAAGAAGAGATTGAGCAAGTAGGTCAGAACAACCAAAGCTCACAGGTGATATCTATAACAAAACCAGGTGACAGGGAATCCCCATGAACCTAAAATACAAGTGTCTGAGGACCAACTAATGACAACTGAAAGAGCCTTGTGGTATTATCGCTTGTGCAAAAGGAAGTAAAGAAGCAAGAAGACAAATGAGAGACCCAATAATAGGCAAATACTCAAATCTCCCATATCTCCAAGTTATTGGGAAGAAGGATGGTTCCATGCAAGAAAGCAGCTGAAATTGGGAGATGTTTGAGCCATTGAAATTTCAGAGAAGAACCAGGGGTGCATTTGCAATAAGGTATGAAAGGCTGATGCATAACTAGGCCCTGTGAACTCCTGAAACTAATATCTAAAGCCTTTTGGGGAAAATGTGTTATATTTAGGAAAAATTACTGGGAAGGGGATCTAAATCAATCCGTGGAGACATGGTAAAAGGCAAGGGAATGAAGTTCCTACAGTAGGGGAGACAAAGTCTCACTCAGAAAGCATAAGCTCTTATTTGTGGAAGCTTCATTAAAATAACCAGAAAGTTGAAGACCCATGAAACTAGAAAAAGTATCCTAACAGATCACTCTTGTCAAAATGTTAACTAACCCCATTTGGCTTAAAAATGATCCTCAACAGAAAAGTATATCAGTTAATAACAATACAGAATGATTATAAAGAGACAGAAAATAAGGAGCAAAATAAACTTCCTTCAGGCAGTGAAAACACTTCAGGAAAAAATGCCCACAAAAAAGATGAAAATATAACAATATTATAAAATATGCTAAAATGAAGAAAATGATAGAAGAAAGAACAATATAAATCAAAGATGGAAAAACTCTTATAATATATAATTGCATACCCTAAAGAAAAACCAAAACAATGAAAGAAAACAAATTCAAAGCATTCTACTTTAAGAAAATATTTTTGAAATTAAAAAATAAAAAGCACTCTAAATTGAAAGATCACGTCATAGGTCTGGATAGCTCAATCCAGAATCTTTAAATTAAAAGAAAAATCCCTTGTCCACATTTATGCAAAAAGAGTGAACAACTCATTGGGAGAAAAGAAACCAATTGTCATCAGATTTTCCGACAGTCACATTTTATATCATGAGAAACTTGAGTCACATACTTAAGATAATCAAGCTTCGTTTCCTCGCCCCGAAGAACTAATGTGAAATAACGTTCTTTTACTTTATTTGCTGTTAATAATTATACAGCAATCAAGTTTATCTTTTTATAAAATGTCCTTATTTCCTCCCAGTTTTGAAAGCTATATTGTATCTATGTTGTCAATTCACACTAGCTGTATTGCTAGTTAGTGTCAGTTTTGCTAAAAGTAGAGAACCCATAGACAAACCAAAAAAAGAAGAGACTGAGATTATTCATTATTAATAATGATAGTATTATTTTAAAAACATTAAAACAGAAATACAAACATTCCTAAATGCAAAAGGATTAAAATTAAAAAGAAAGAGCACATAAAGTGGACCACGTAGTGAAAGATTTATTATATAAAACATTTGTGTACATATTAATATAACATAAGACAATATGATTGTTCACAAAACGAGGGAATATAAATATATATATCTATCTGTTTCTGTTTTTATTTTTTTAAATTTATTTATTTATTTTATTTCGGCATATTATGGGGGTACAGATTTTAAGGTTTCAATAAATGCCCTTTCCCCCCCTCCCCCCACAAGTCTGAGTTTCCAGCATGACCATCCCCCAGATGGTGTTTTTATTTTTTAATTGAAGGAAAAACATAAAAATGTTTTAAATACTATCTTCTGCTAGAAGGAAATAATGGTCCTTGGAGAAATGGCTGTCCAGGTCTGGAGAAGCAAGTGTGCAAAATAAGCCTAAAGTACTGTATTTTACCAGATGAAAAAGGAGCCACCAAAGACTTCAAAAGCCAATTTGAACAGCCCACCACTGACCCTAAATGGGACAATTTCTACATCAATAAGAAAAAGAGCTGGAGTGAACTGAAACATATCAAATGTGGTTAAACCTATAATTTCAAAATGACACCAAAAAGCAAACAAAAACACTAATTGGTCACTGTTTGAAGATGTTGATGAACCAACATATATTTTGAAAACTAGTAAGTTAAAAAAATTAAGAATTTATCCTATCTTTCTTTTAAGAATTGTAACACTAGAAAATTTTCAGCTAATAAAAGAGAAGCAATAATATTAATAGAATTAGATTTTACCCATTTGAAACCTCTAATGAGCTCATGGATCTAGACATTGATTATCAACTGCTGTAAACAACAGAAAATGGAGAGGGATTGAACATGAAAATACACAATACCAGCTATAAAGTGTACTTGCTAAAAAATCAACCTAAATCTAATTAAGATCCTAGCTCTAGATACCCATTAATAAAAAATAGAGAGGGCAGAGAAATGGCTTCAAAGACACCACAGTGGTAAAATCACATTGCTAAGCTGTGGGAAACACTAAAGAAAAAGTGACCAGCTTTCAAAATAAAAATTGCAAAAATGAGAAAGTTATGTGTGTGTTGGGAAGGGGAGAGAGAGAGAGAGAGAATGAAAGATTAAAAGAGATTAACAGATAATTAAAAGAGAATAAGATACAGATTAAAAGATTAAAGATTAAAGGATTAAAATCTGTATCTTATACAGATAAGATACAGATTAAAAGAGAATAAGAGATATATCAACCAATCAAGTTTCATGAACCTTATTTGGATACTGATTCAAACAAACAAACATTTAACATGCCTAAGACAATTGGAAATTTGGCACACTGCATTTTGATAATATTAAGGAATCATTGTAATATATAGTTATGATATCAACATTATGATTATGATTAAAAGATCTCTTATCTTTTAGTGATACTTCCTTAAATGTTTAGAAATGAAATTATATAATGTCTGCTATTTACCTCAGAATAATAAAGGAGGAGAGGAAGTAGTTAAGCAGATAGATTAAACAAGATTGGCCATGATTAATCATTGTTGAAGCTGTGTGACAAGTACATGGGAGTGTTTCATTGTATAATGTCTACTTGGTATATGTTTAAAATGATACACAATACAAAGTTTAAGAAGTTATGATTTTTTTTTTTTCTCAAATGGGATGGACATTTCAAGCCAAGGAAAAATAAATGTATTTCATTTTCCTAAATATATTCAGAGATTCTTAGAGTACTGGTTTATAGAAGTCTTTGCCCTGGTATTATGATAGTGTATTTAGATGCACCTTCTTTAACATTAATTTAATTTTAACACCCACTCTACTGAATACATGTGTCTGAGAAGCATTTTTTTTTTTTTTAGGATTGTGGAAAAGGGATATTACAGTGAGCGAGACGCCGCTGATGCAGTTAAACAAATCCTGGAGGCAGTAGCTGTAAGTAGGAAGCAACAGCAAAACTCTTAGCCACCTTTTCCTTTTACAGAGTCATCATTTAAGAAATGTGTGTATGTGATAAACCATAAAATTTCAACAAAAATTTATGAAATATTTAGTAGAAAATATTGAATAAATATTGATATTTTCTATTGATTACTCAAATTCTGAAAGATGTAGTTCTCCTATGTAATGCTATCAGTTTTTTAAATTAATTTGTATTTTATTATTGTGAAACCAAACCAATTTTGGTACCTTTAGCTGTTCCTTATCTCTTTCTTTCTCATTTTTTGAGTTTGTTTCTTTATTGATTTTGTTGTTTTTTAATTTGGTATGGAAGTGGAGGAAGGTTGAATGTGATCGATATAGAGCTTGGAGCTTAGAGATTACTAACTTTGCTTTCAAGACAAGCAATGAATGAATTAGAAGGAAAATATGTAGCAATTTTATTTTTTTAAGGAAGAATTAATGTTAACATTTTAAACTGGAGCACAAGTTTTGTTAATAGTGCAAACAAATGCACACACATTTACAAAAAATATAATTTTGAGAAGCTTGTTTGTTTGGACTGCAGTAATCTAGAAACACTTGCCTAAATAAAACATATTCCATTGGTTAATACCTTCTCATATATTTGATGATGTCTAATACATGCTGGGACGCTTTGGTGATTCATTTATTGAATATAAAGCCTGAACAAATTATTCTCTGAGCAATCAGGACAGGGCCCAAGGGGAGATGTTTATCAGGATTAGTTAGAAACAAATCTATAAAATATGTCCAGAATTAAGATATATTCTATTATTCAGAGTTAGTTATCTAACTAAAATCATTTTCAATACCTTGAGAAATCAGCTGCAGTGACCCAAGCACAGGTCTTACTAATTTTACTGATAGCAAAAACAGGAAGGAGGGAAGGAAGGAGGGAAGGAGGGAAGGAAGGAGGGAAGGAAGGAGGGAAGGAAGGAAGGAGGGAAGGAAGGAAGGAGGGAAGGAAGGAAGGAGGGAAGGAAGGAAGGAGGGAAGGAAGATCGCATTCTGTTGTCTCTCAGACATTTTTTTTTCCCCTTCCTGGGACAGTAGCACATTATGCACTAATGCCATGTGAGACAGTGAGTGGAGGATGTGACAGTGAAGGGAGAGGGACACGTGCCCCTCATGCTAGCACCCTCCCCTCCTACATTGTTCTGCTGACAAGACATTATTTCAAAATAGATCAATCTTCAAAATAATTGCTTTGAATGTTTCTTGTTTGCCTTTGGTGCACACTATCAGACAGAAGTACTGGAAAAAGGATAATTGTTTCTTGTGAACTATACTGACACACCAAAAGATGTACCTTTTACTACTATCTGATCTGGTACTATTTTTTTTTTTCTGCTGATACCATTTCTTCATGTCCTCCTCCATTCCTGGATTTTCACTGCATCCTAGATGCAGTTTTGAATGATAGTCTGTTGTTTGCCATAAAAGCATGATTTCACTTTGAATATGATTTCATCTTGGCAGAACTACTTGTTTATCATGTAGTATCTAACTTTTCTCTGACCAGCTTCAGACATCCCTCACATTTCCACACTGCCATCTTTGTAATTCAAGCTGTCTGTTTTACAGTAGATATAGATTCCTTGATTGTCTCATTCACTGCAACCAGGAAAGAACTCTTACAAGGCTCCTTCAGTCTTCTTCATCTTGTTAAATGGCACTGCCATTCAGCAACTGTTTGCTAAAAACCTGTAGTTCACCCTTGATTTGTTTACCTCACATCCTAATAATCCCATGAACAAGTCCTATCAAGTCTACCTCCAAATTATAACTTGAATTTGACCATTTTTCATCTTCACTAATCCATAGCACCAGTTTCAGTCTTCATCATCTCCCACTCAGACTGCTGCAGAACCTTCTAGTGGGGCAACCTACTTCCACTACCTAATGTCCACTCTCTTGACATCATCCAGTTATTATTTAAATTATAAAACAATTATATCATTTCTGTGCTTACAGTGCCAATGGTAGGGGTGAAGAAACTTTTCATGTTGGAAGGCTGCATTAATTTAGCTATAATCAAATAAGGCCACATTCAAGAAACTTGAATTAGATATGCTTAAAAATATACATCATTTTGGAAAAATCTAACTCCTACATATTAATAATTTCAAAAAAAATGAAAACTATTTGTTAATTTTAAAGTTAACTAACCTTTTAATGACTTTGTTGTGTCTGCTTTGTGTTGGAAAGCAATTGAGTATTTGGTTGCAGCATGGAGGTCCACAGTTTCAGTTGATCCTCTAGACAGTATCAGTCATTTGTGACCTTAAGGGTGTCTTGATTCAGGTTAGGTAGCAGAATGTAGATTTGCAGCAATAATTGTTTGAAAAGCAAGAAAGCATTTTTCGAGCATATCGCCGAAGGCACAGTTATTTTACTGCATTTTTCCATATTTCAATTGGGTCTTCCTTAGCATCAATGATTGAGAGGTCAATCAGTTCTATCTGTAGTTCTTTAGGTGCCTTGGAGATATCAACTAGGTGAGGCTGAAATGCTAATTTGAGTGCGATGTCATGTTTCTCAAAGTCAGTGAAACTTTCATTGTATTCTCAAATTTATAGGTCTATAACAGCTGCACATTCTTCAAATGATTCACATATATCATCCTGCTTATCAATGACCTTAGCTAACGGGAAAATGTTCACCTGAAATTTCCTTTTGAAGAAGACATGTTTTGAAGAAAAGATAGCTTTTTTCAAGATGTTTGGATTTTTTGCCACCTTACCTTGCAAAGAAATATTCAAGTTATTTTGATTTGACATTATATCACACAGAAATGCTGCATTCCTATAGAAATCTTCTTTCAATAGTTCACATTGCTGATTCTGTTCTTCATAAAATTTAACTGTCTGTTCTCACAGAGATGAAATTTTGGGTAACACCTACCTCTGTTATAGCCAACACACTTTAGAATGATTCAGTAAATCCACACTGAATTGTTAAACATTAGCATGTTACAAAATTGTTCAACTTTAGCATGTTACAAAACTGAGGATGCCATGTTGCATTTGCAAGAATATAGTTAACAATACTTACAACTTGTTGCAAAGTCTCACTTAAAATAGTAGATTTAGCACACATAGTTTTCTGATGCAAGATACAGTGAAAATAAATGAGAGCATCTGGGTCTGTTAATACTTTTTCTGTGCAATAAACCCTTCATGTTTTCCTGTCATGGAAGGTGCGCTCTTTCTACACACACTCACTAAATTCACCGAATTCAGTCCAACTTCATGATGTTTATCTTGAAAGTTGTTGTTCTGTTTGTTCTGTTTGCAGGAGTGCCCAAAGCGAGTAACTCTTTGTAGCAAAGAAAATTTTCTGTTATGACCTGAATGAAGTATAAAACCTGAATGAAGAATAAAACCTATGCTTAGTCGGTAATATGAGTTGATTCATCCAAAGCAGTTGAATAATATATAATTTCCTTTTGAAGTATTGCATGAAGTTGTTCTGTTAAATTGAAGGTTAATTCATGCTGCTGATTAGTTATGGCTCTACTTGAAAGAGGCAGTTGTTTCTACTTTGAAACATTATAAGGGTATAAGCATCCTACAACTTTAACAATGCATTCTTTCACAATTTCTGCATCACTAAATGGCTTCCCTTTTTCCCTGAGTATGTAAGCTACTTTATAAGTTGCTTCAGTGTCATTATTTCCAGGTCTCATTGCTGCTTGAAACAAATTATCTTTGCTTTTGCTCTTCGTTTAATTTCTGCAATACAACCTTTTGCTCCTCTCCCTCTAATTTAAAATATTTATGGTCCTTATGAATATTATAATGCTGATGAGAACTGAATTTCTTTAATGTTGATATTCCAGTATCACAAAGCAAGCAAATCATCTTATCTTTAGCAAAAAAAACCCAAGATAATATTGCAATTCTCAATCCTCATTAAAAAATCTGTTTTCTTCTTTCAGCATTCTATTGGTCTTTGACATGATGGGCTGTTAAGCAGACAGAATTTAAAAATACTGTGGAGCTGTGCAATTATTCACAAATTCCACTTCAAACAGAAACATAGTGCACTGTTGTCAAAAGCTGATAACAGACTGTCATATTCAACCCTCATAAACTCTTGCCGACCAGCCTCGTGTGGTCGTAGTGTCAGGTGGGGGAAGGTAGAACTAAATCATGAGCGTAGCAGCTGTCAGTTTAGCCTTTATGGCTCACTAATGTTCTAATTGTGCTTGTCAATCTGGGAGGATTATTTCATTGAAACTTATTTTATTCTTTGGCATTTTAATTACATTCACTTTAAAAATAAAATAATACATTTTTGTTCATCTTTTATATTTTTAATACAAATAAAAGGATCTGCTCTATAAAATTTGGATTCAGTCTAAAGGCCACTGTTAAGGACCTAGAAGTCTACATGTGCCCTTCTGGCCACAGGTTCCCCACCCCTGGCCAATGGCATCCCATTGAAAGTAGAATAAAATCAAAATTCTTTAACGTATCCTAGAATGTCCTACATATACAGGTTCCTTCCCACCATCCCAATCTCACTGAATACCATTTTTGTTCTCCTCACTGTGCTGGAGTGACCTTGTATTGGGACCCTGAGAAAGATCTAAGCTGTTTCTCATCTCAGGGTACTTGCTGTTTCTCTTCTGGGACCCTCTGTCCTCATATCTGAGGAATATGTTCCTGCGGCTCCATTCTTACTGCTTTCAGGTCTCTACTCACATATCACCTCTCCAGAGAGACCTGCCCTGACTGCTCCACCTAAAATAGTGCCCCCCACTACTTCTCCAAGCCATCCTCAATTCTATTACCATGTGTTATCGCCTTTTTTTGCATTTATAATTATTTGTAATCATACATTATTTTGTCTGTGTGCGTAGTATTTATTGTCTCTTCATAAAGTAGGAACTTTGTGCTGTGCATTTTTATATTCCCAGTGCCTAAAATAGTACCTGGTAATAGTAGGTGCTCAATAAATATTTA